GCTCACCGCAACCTCCGCCTCCTGGGTTCAGGCAATTCTCCTGCCTCAGCCTCCTGAGTAGCTGGGATTACAGGCACACACCACCATGCCCAGCTAATTTTTTTTGTATTTTTTTAGTAGAGATGGGGTTTCACCATGTTGACCAGGATGGTCTCGATCTCTTGACCTTGTGATCCACCCGCCTCGGCCTCCCAAAGTGCTGGGATTACAGGCTTGAGCCACCGCGCCCGGCCTAAAACAATTTTTTTTAGACACAGGTCTCAATCTGTCACCCAAGCTAGAGTCCAGTGGGACATTCATGGCTCACTGCAGCTTTTACCTCCAGGGCTCAACCAGTCCTCTCACTTCAGCCTCCAAAATAGCTGAGGCTACAGACATGCACCACCATGCTCTGTGGATTTTCCCACCTCAGCCTCCTAAGTAGCTGGGACTACTGGCATGTACCACCAAACCTGGCTAATTTTTGTATTTTTTTGTAGAGATGGGGTTTTACCATGTTGCCCAGACTGCTCTTGAACTCCTGAGCTCAAGTGATCCACCCACCTTGGCCTCTCAAAGTTCTGGGATTATAGGTGGCCAGTGTGTCCAGCCATGAAATGTATTTCTTAAATTGTAAGACATGATCTGAGGTGCAGAATGGATGTTGTGTTAACGGGCATGAAAACAACATTAATCCCTTATACATCTCCATCAGAGCTTGTGAGTAACCAGGTACACAGTCAATGAGCAGTAATAATTCAATGGAAAGCTTTTTTTCTGAGCAGTGGGTCTCAACAGTGCGCTTAAAATATTCAGTAAACTATGCCATAAACAGATGTGTTGTCATCCAGGCTTTGTTGTTGCATTTACAGAGCATAGGCAAAATAAATTTAGCATAATGCCTAAGGGCCCTAGGATTTTTGGAGTGGTAAATGAGCAATGGCTTCAACTTAAAGTCACTAGGTGCATTATACTCTAATAAGAGTAAACCTGTCCTTTGAAGTTTTGAAGTCAAGTATTGACTTCTCCTCTCTTTTATAGGCCATAAAAGTCCTATATGTCACCTTCTTCCAATAGAAAGCTGTTTTGTCTACACTGAAAATCCATTGTTTACTGTAGCCACCATCACCAGTTCTCTTTGCTAGAACTTCCAGACAACTTGTTACAGTTTGCAACCACTTGCTACATATAGCATTTTTATGCTGTGAAGATGATTTATTTCCCTGAACCTCATGAACCAACCTCTGCTCACTTCCAACTTTTCTTCTGCAGCCTCCTCACCTCTCTCAGTCTTCACAGAATTGAAAAAAGTTAGGGCCTTGCTCTGAATTAGGCTTTGGTAAGGAAATCTGTGACTGGTTTCATGTTCTGTCAGATCCCTCAAACTTTCTCCATGTCAGCAATAAGGCTGTTTTGCTTTCTCATCATTTGTATGTTCACTGGAGTAGCACTTTTAATTTCCTTTAAGAATGCTTCCTTTGCATTCACAATATGGCTAACTGGTACAAGAGGCCTAGCTTTGGGTTTGTTTTTACACGCCCTCCTCACAAAGCTTAATCATTTCTACCTTTTTTAAAGTGAGAGATGCATGACTCTTCCTTTCACTTAAACACTTGAGGTCATTGTAGGGTTCTTAACTGGCCTAATGCCAATATTGCTGAGCCATGGAGTATATAGAGGAAGGCCCAAGAAGAGGAAAAATCAAAGAGAACTGCTAGGCAGCGGAACAGTCAGAACATATACAACATTTATCAATTAAGTTCACTATTTTTTGTGGGCGTGGTTTGGGGCAACAACAATTACAATAATAACACCAAAGATCACAGATTACCATAACAGATGTAATACTATTGAAAAAGTTTGAAATACGGAGAGAAAATATGTGTGTGTGTATATATATATATATATATATATTTTTTTTTTTTTGGAAACAGAATTCTCACTCTGTTGCCCTGGCTGGAGTGCAGTGGCACGATCTCGGCTCACTGCAACCTCTGCCTCCTGGGTCCTGGGTTCAAGCAATTCTCCTGCCTCAGCCACCCCAGTAGCTAGGATTACAGGTGTGTACCACCACACCCTGCTAATTTTTGTATTTTTTAGTAGAGACACGGTTTCACTATGTTGGCCAGGCTGGTCTTAAACTTCTGGCCTCAAGTGATCCACCTGCCTCAGCCTCCCAAAGTGCTGGGATTACAGGCGTGAGCCACCGCACCTGACCGAGATAATATTTTTCAATATTGAGGGAATAACCAAAATGTGACACAGAGACACAAAGGGACTAATTTTGCTGTTGGCAAAATGATGCCAATAGACTTGCTCAGCATAGGGTTGGCCACAACCTTTAATTTGTTAAAAAAAAAAAAAAAAAAAAAAGTCTGCAAGGCACAATAAAGCAAACTGCAAAAAAAAAATGTGGTATGCCCAGGGTCTGGTATGTAATAGGCTCAATAAATGAATTTAAAATCTAGTCTGGCTCTGAGCGCCTCTTCTCCAAAGACATCCTTAGTTTAGGTGAAGTAAACATTGAAACTTCCCAACAAGCTATTTTGGCTTTTCCGGGTTTTTTAAAACAAATTTTATGTATAAAAAAATACGTACTAGCATTTTACAAAATAAATTTAGTATGACTTGAAATTGTTGCCTTGTTTTCTCAAAATAGTCTACTATAAGTTTAAGTTTGCTGTAAATAGGCCAGAAATGCCTACTTTAAAGGACTAAAAGGTTTAAGTGAGATTGTAAATGCAATGCTTGAGTGAGAGCAGCACTGGCCTAAAAAGACATCAACAAATGCTTACGGAATTTAGAAGAGAGCAAGATTTTTCCTTTCAGGTAGGAAAATTCCCCTAATGGGGTAAGATTCTGGAAGAGTTGGGTTTCACTGTCTCTAAACACAGTAAAAAATGTACAAAGCTTAGCATCTAGTTAAGATAAAATAGCTTATGCACCAATTACTGATAAGAAAAGAATGTCCTTGTTAGCTTCAGTAAACCATGGGTATTGGGCTTGCTGTTTTAATTTTGCAGATGTAGCCTTTGTGAAACGAAAGACAAGAGTGGCATAAGTTAACTGTGTTTCCACAGATGTCCTAAAGACCAGCCAGTTGAAGACGACAAAGTCAATACAAAAGCCAGGTCAACCTACTTAGTTTTCAGATTAATTCCATTTTATATTAATATCTTTAATGGACACTACATCAACTTGGGAGATAAGTTACTTGTAAATTATTAGCAGGGCATGGTGGCTCACTCTCAGAGGCTGAGACAGGAGGACTGCTTGAGGTCAAGAGTTTAAGACCAGCCAGAACAACAAAGCAAGATCCCACCTTTACAAAAAATTAAAAATTAGCCAGGTGTGGTGGCGTGCACCTGTAGTCTCAGCTACTGGGGAGGCTGAGGCAAGTGGATTGCTTGAGCCCAGGAGTTTGAAGCTGCAGTGAGCCATGACTGCACCACTGCACTCCAGCCTGAGCAACAGAGCAAAACCCTGTCTCAAAAAAAATAAAAATTAATTAATTAATTATTAGATTTTTCCACTACTAAGGTGCTCTCAAATATACACAATCTCCCTATGTTGGCAAGAATGAGCCTGCTAGCTCTGGACTTGAGTCTATGTTAATAATTCATAGGAAAAGTCATGACAGCATTAACTAAATTTGAAAAATAAATGTTAGACAATGCATTTAGTTGGAAGGACCTCACCTCACCTCAGTTTAATATTATTTTTCTTTCCCGTCAAAAACAAAAACACAGGCATTTATACTGTATGAACATATTTTAATAAACAGGGATTCTTCTTGTTGATAAAGTATTAATACTTTTTAAATATACTGACATCAAACATCTATTTCAATCATAACAATAACGGCACAGGCAGGTCTGGTAGAATCTGCCTACCTGATTTCAGATCCAGGCTCTATTACTTTCTAGCTGTGTGATCTTGAGCAACTTATCTCTCTGAACCTTTCCCATTTGAAAAATGGATATAACGGATATAATAGTTAATAGTAGCCTCATAGAGAAGAGTAAATACAATAATGTATATACACATTTCTCATTTGTAAAATGGGTATAGTAGGTAAAATTACTTCATAGAGTGGAAGGGAGGAATAAATACAATAATGTCTATGTATTCCTTAGTACAGCAGGTGGCATACAGTAAGCACACAGTATGTATTTATATACTTGTGAACATACCTTATTATCTCAAAATGTGGCTCAACTCAGATACCCCTGCAAGGGTGGAAGCATGCTGACTGATGTACAAGTTGACCTAGAACCATAAGCTGGTATTAGCATTAACATTAAAACTATGGAACTGGGAAAGGTCTCAAAGATTATCTAGGGCAAACCTCATTATTTAATAGGCTGGGGTATGGAGGGACAAGGATGGGAGATGATCTGTACAAAGTCACATTCCTAACTGGGGATAGAACCAAATTAGACTTTAGGCCTTTTCCTATCTTTTACAGAACTTAAAATGTTTTCTGATGATCAGTTAATTTATCACTTTACCATCTTTACACTAGTGACTTATCATTACTATGCTAATCAGATTTGCCTACACATACCTTTATATTCTGAAACAAATATATACATGACTGGCCTCTTAAAAATGCTTTGTGATTGTTCTTCCTGGATTGATTTTATTCTACTACTAAAATAAAAGTTTCTTAGGGACAGAAACTGTGACTTATTCTTCTCTGGATTAGTTGAAGCCAAGTACTATTACTTTGTTACTATTACTTCCCACAATGGTGAGGAATAGGCTAAAACAAACTAACAAACAAAATTTTGTTAGTTTTGCCTCCTGATTACTACTTCTAGATTAATAGTAAACTCTTAAGAGGCCTAGAAACTGAGAAGGGAGATTATCAGATGCTTCCACTTCTATTATGCTCGAATATATCCTTAATGGAATCAAGCAAGTCATGTGTTTAAATCAAGAGACTTGAAACTTAAGCAAGTACACTTACAGTGATATATGGCTATAAAAGAGGAAGTGAAAAGCAACTGCCGTATTCACTGTCATATGTTCTACTTCCTTAGAGAAAACCAAAAAAGGAATAGCTAAATCAGAGAATGTTGGTGAAACTTTCTAAATTCTCAGTGTTAAATTTGATTTGGTTTTCCTGATAACCATGGGGAATAAAAATAAACTCTAACTTTCCTCAATAAGTCTTTTATCATCAAATTAGCATTGTCTATGTCCAGGAGTACAGTTACATGCCTAAAATTCAAGTGTCTCAGATCTTTGAGAGGCCTGCTCAGGAAAAAAGAATAATTGAGCCACCAAGGATTTATCTCTGGCCAGGAATCTGGAAAAGAGCACATGACTGTCATTACCTATCAACATTTTCAGTCAGCATGGACTGATTGCTGCGTGAAAGTTGGGAGCCTTAACATTACAGACTTCTCTCAAATACTTTCACATAGGGAAGACTGTGGATTTAAAGTATACCTTTGAAATTTTCAAGCAGTCTAATATACAGCTATACACAAAACGGGTTTGTTGGAAGGAACATTACTTCAAAAGGCTGGCTACAAACAGGAGTCAACAGCAGCAAGGAGGCTGGAATGTGTGGAGATTCGTTAATGTTTTGGGTGGAATAGGGGAAAAAAAGGAAGCAAAGGACAGCTTAACTCTAACATAACTGAGAAAACGAAAGAATTCAAAGTGGAACTAAGTGAATGCAGGCCATCCAAAGAGGCGGTAGTTGTGGAACAGCGACAAGAGTGAAAAGACTTCAGGATAGGTAATACAGAGCTAGCCAGTGTAAATCAAAAGATCCTATTTAAGGACAAAAAAAGGCCAGTGTCGTTTTTATGATCATTCATGTATTGACCTCTCCAACAAATCTGGAAGCAACTTAACAGCAGGAACAGCAGCCTAACCATTTTTGTAACCTCTTAGCATTTAGCAGAATAAGGAGCATATGTGGTATATTTGTCATTTTTCCAGTACGTTCTTCAGCATGCACAAAATTTGTTAAGCATATGCTCAAAGCTTGCAATGATCACAGCTTGGTAGCTCTCACGAGTTTGGAGGAAGTCAAGCTGTCCATCGGCACAACACAATAGAAAAGGCTAAACTGACTACTGAAAGAGACAAAACTCTGCCTCTTTTTAAAGATTTCTATCCCGGGCTGGTATATATTAATACAATGCTTGTAAAACTGGAGAATGAAGAAGTCTGTTACGTTGGTTTTAAGCTTTAAAATTTACAAAGTGCAATTTCGCAGCTATCATTCATTCAACAGGCACTTCTTGAGCACTCACTATGTGCCAGGTACCATGCTGAGTGCTAGACAAACATGAACAACATAAGCAGTCCCTGTCCTGTGAGGAATCATAATCTAATAGGTTCGGGGTGCAAGAATAGAGGCAAACACACTTAACTGTAGGAATAAGGAAGGGAAAGCAATTTATTCTGCCTCAGGCTGCAGAAGGAAAAGCACCCAAAACGTGACATCCGAGCTGGGCCTTGAAGAATGCTAGAGCTGACCCACCAGGGCCTGGTTCTAAAGTGTCATCGCCTTTTCCACCGAGAAGAGAAAGTCTCATGTCAGTCCCAGGTAACTCCTACAAAAACTCTGAGGCAGGAAGTTTCATCAGCAATCATTCCCATCTCACCAGAGAAATTGTGACCCAGAAAGCAAAAGGCAAACCCCAGGGTTATCTTCGCGCCAAGAGAGATGCCGGGTCCCGAACCTCAGATCGGCGGAGTCAGCACAGTTGCAAGCTCTGCCCAGATTCTGAGAGGTGTAGAGCACCGGAATGTAGCAAAGGTCTGCACCCGGAAGTTGGGAAAAGGCCTGAGAAGAGATCGACCCCCCTCCAACAATCTGCTGGTATCTCTCAGCCACGTCCTCCAGCGCATACTTCTCAGTCACTCACCCGCCGCTGGGCGAGAGGAAATCGGTGTCGTCCTCGTCTCCCGAACCGAACATTGCGTAGGATTTCACCGAATAGCAGGGAGGAAGCTGCGTGTTCCCAGCATCCCAGGGACTGTCACCGCCGACGTTGTAAAATGCCGCGGTAGCGTGCTGCTTTCCGGCAGGATGAACTCCCGCACGGTCTCTGGGCCGAAAGCCGACTAGGCTCCGGAGAAGGTGGGGCAAAAAGGCAAATGAGAGACTCGCGCGGGCACGCGCGCCGCGTGACGTCAGGCCTCTCCAGCCCGCAGGGGGGCGGAGCTTCATAGCCCCGTGGAGGGATTGGTCGGTAAGGCAAGGGGGCGGGGCGGGGGCGGGAATCCTCGGTCTCGGTGGCGGTCGTGGACACGTCGAGCCGGGCAGAAGTGGAGGGGCCAGTCGAGGAGTCGCGAAGGGGTGACGGGTTAAGATTCGGAGAGAGAGGTGCTAGTGGCTGGACTCGACTTGAAAAGGTAAGGCTTCTCTCGGCCCCTCTCTCGCACCCCTGTGCATGGGTACCCTCCTTTCCCCAGCGGGACAAGGACCCTTCTCTCCGCTCTCCTCAGCTCGGCAGAAGGAGAAAGAGCTCGGGTCTGGAGGGCTGAAGACCTGGGCTTCGGCCCGGCCCCTGCAGTGGCATAGCTAGAGTGACCTTGGTCCGGGGTTCTCAGTGCCTCAGTTTCCCCGTGTATGCAGCTGGCCATTTGTCGAGTGCTTCCATGTGCTGGCTGGTCCAGAAGCTTTTAGAGCTCAGAGGCCATCGAATTCAATCCCGGTCTCCTTGTAATCTCAGAATTCACAGATAGGGAAACGAAGGAACTGCCCTCGGGTGAGGGCTTAGTCCGAGGTTACAAAGAGTAAAGGGCAGACTGAGATTGGATTCCTCTATCTTTGATTCAGGATATAGTGAGCTAGTGAGTGAACAAGACCCTTGCCAGCCCTTAAGCACTGTGTGCCCTTACAGAATGGCTACTGAAAGACTGTAGCATACACCTCGAGGAAAGTCCCCCTTCTAGAGTCCACCTGTATTCTACTCAGGTGAACTTCAGAAGAGCTAGGATATTCTGGGGGTGGGTAATGGAAAGGAGAATACTTTGGAGGCAGACACATCCCCAGCCCAACCTTGGCGTAGATTTCCCTGGGTCTTCCTGCGATAGTCCTAAATCAACATCAATTGTGGCGGACTCCTCTACCTCCAATTTCCACCCTGACTGTAGCTCACATAAATATTTCTTTGGTTAACCTGGTATCTCAAAACAATCCTGGGATAGTCCTGGCTTAGCCAAGGTGTGGCTAAGGAGATAGTGTCCCAGTGTAGCATCCATTGCCACAGACTCAGTGGAGTTCTTGGGCTTCTTCTCACAGTCAGGTTGGTACTACAGGTGTCCCTTACCTGAATGTTTCAATCTGTCAGTATGAAATTGAAGCGAAGTGATTGGTAGCTCCCTCCCAGAGAACTTTGCACCTCCTGGCACTTGTCCTGTTCTGCTTTTTATTATAGTTTGCATACTACTGAATTGTAAACCTTCTTGCCTATAATAGGTTCTTATTAATTTTTATTAGACTGATTAATGAAATTCATCCTTGTTCCCTTGTTCCTTAATTTACAATCTTAGGATTTCTTTTTCCCGTGTGACCCAGCCTAGCGTTATTTCTTGCCTTTCATAGGTAGCTCCCAGAAAGATAAAAATGCTGTACTAACTGTGAGCTATCTGGGTTGCTTAATCTCTTTTGTTAATTGAAGGTGATTGTACTATTGTCTAAAGCTCCAGGGGAGGGGGAACAGGGGAATAAGAAAGCTAGAAATATTATATGTAACTATAATTTTCATGAGGAAATTATTCCTCTCTTTAACGGAGGATAGAGCTGTTAGTCTGCTTCTCATGTTTATTTTGTAGATCAAGATATTAAAGCAGTGAAGGTTCACAGTTGCAATAACGCAACTGGAATGTAAGTGCTAGAATTGGAACTGAAACTAGAATCTAATAAGCACCAGCGCTAGAACTGTTGCAATAGCTCTGTTTAGTATGTGAACTTGGCTACCTCTTGGAGGTGTTGAGGGAATAACTGGATTAAGTACCATGGCACTTCCTAACCCCCCTCCCCAATGCTGGCTGTGATTGCAGTACTGAAACATCTAAGTGGTGCTTTTATTTAAAAAATGCCCAAGGGAACATTTGAACTCTTATCTTGCATTCTTGGGTGGAACTGTTTTTATCCTGGATGTTTAAGTAAAGTGGCTTTTGTAGGTACTCAGAAATCCTAAAATCAGTAGCCTTGTTGGTGATTAGAACATCAAACGTGCATACCCCAGTTATCCCTGTGGAAAAACAGCTGCTGATTCTCGTTGGCAGTATGTGGAGAAAGATGATGGTGAAATTTCCCCAGGCTTTGAACTGCAGGACTGAGTGAAAAAAAAAAAAAAAAAAACACAACCACTGTCTTCTAAATTCATTTATCTTCAGATGGGTAATATTGGACTAGGAATCAGGAAATCTGAATTCCTGTCCCAGCCCTTCTAACTCACTCTGAGTTTGGGCCAGGCTCCCTAAACACTGTAAAAGGAGTGGATTAGACCTAGACTTCTACTGAGTAAGAGCTGGAGATACAAAGGTAAGTAAGGCACAACCTTGATCTCAAGTTTAAATTAAGCATTTTTGTTTATTTGTTTTGCTTAAGTATACAACTTTTAGAATATTCATAAAATGTATTGTTGACCCCTTGAAGATTGGCTAGGAAGCAGCAATTATTTTTCTCCACCTTCCACCCACCTTCCTCCCTCAGGGAAGCAGCAAATTTAATAATTCTTTTCAAATTATCCGCAGTTTTGCAACGGAGATGACAGTCTTTATATGCAAGTATACCCATACTAATCTGTACTGATGAATGCATTTTAAAATTAATAGTTTAAAGATATAACCAAGTTATATCAGGTATAGTGATAGGGATATGAATTAGATGCAGGTTCTTGGGGATCGATAACATTCTATTTACTCAGTCACTAAAAGCAGACTTTTAGGGCCATTAGTTGGTTAACTGAAGAAGTAAGTTAAAGCAGGAATCATACAGATAACAGTTACGTGCATATCATAAACATTTTAATGAACACATAAACATTCTTTTGCCATTCTTTTAACACAAGGCCTCAGCCTTTTCTTGGAGTGTAGGAACCTATTGCCTGTTTTTATAAGTAAAGCTTTATTGGAACACAGCCTTGCCCATTTGTTATGAATTGTCTAGGACTACTCTTACCCTACAAAGCAGAGTTGAGTAGTTCCAACAGAAACCACATGGCCCACAACACCTAAAATGTTTACTTTTGGCCCTTTACAGAAAGAGCTTGCTAGCTTCTGGCCTACATTATCTATGGGATTTTTAACATGGAATGAAAACTTTAAGTCACTTGCAAAGCATTTTCAGTGCAGAATCTTTTAGGGGTTTATGAAAAGCCCTCCCAGCCTTTTGTGTTGTCTCTCTCACCTAACAACAAGTTTATGTGTTACCTGTATGCTCACTTTTATCCAGTCTTTCCAAAGCATTCAATGTGTTTTTTATAGAAACAACTTCTAGAGAGGCTATGTAGTACAGTCATTAAATACTTGAGCTCTGGACCCAAATTGCTTTGCCACTTACTAGTTGTATAGTAGACCTTAGGCAAGTTACTCAGTTTCTGCCTTTGTAAAATAGGGATAATGGTAGTATCCATTTCTAGGTTTCTTGGGGAAATTATAGGAGTTACTTGCTGTAAAGCATGTAGAACAGTGCCTGGCAGGTGGTAGGTACTCAATGTTAATTGCTGCTGTCATTTTTCTCTTCTCATTTATACTTCATTGCTTTACATAGTATTTACATATTTTCAATAATAAGCACAACTGGCATAAATTGGTTTGTGAACAAACACACTGACACCATTGATAAGCACACTTTACTGAAGGGGAACCAGAAGTGTTCTCATCACGTTGGAGAATAGCCTAGCCGGTGTGATGTCAGTTAATTAGATAAGAGAGTTCTGTGGGATAGTTTGCTAAGAGTATAAGGCAACAGTTCACTTAAGGAAGTAGTGGATTAAAATTGAAAAGGAATACAGGACCGTATTTGTCAAATACGTCGAAGGTGAAGGTGACAAGTTTATACTTAGCTCAGTAGGAAGCGAATATTTTACTCTAAATGGCATGATTGATGTAAAAACATTCAAATGGCTTAGGAGTACATGAAATAAAACGTTAAATTTCCCCAGCTCCATTCCATGTCAGTAGCCACTTCATTTTCTAATGGTCCCTAGAACATGGGGTGGTTGTATGAACTGAATGAGGTAAAGCATGGTAAACACTACTTGGGGCACTGGTATTAATTTTTTTTTAATTTCAATTCAGCTTTCCTTTGGATTATAATCTCAATTTTGAATGGAGAAAAATAAAGTTTCCATACTGAATGTGGATAAAATGAAATGACTGCTTTGAAAATAGATACCATGCTCGCAAGAGTCTTTGATTCCTAAGTCTTTCTTTACCTCTTGTTTCCAATTTGGAAGTCTTGGTAGAAAAGGACTTAGGAATCAGAGACTCATTTCCACTGTTAATTCCATTTTGCACCTTTCCTACCAGAAGTGCTACAAGAGAAAAGATGATATAATTATCATAGAAAAGCAAAGTGTTTGGCCAGGCATGGTGGCTCACACCTGTAATCCCAGCAAAGGTGGATCACCTGAGGTCAGGAGTTCAAGACTAGCCTGGCCAACATAGTGAAACCGCGTCTCTACTGAAAATACAAAAATTAGCTGGGCATGGTGGTGGGCGCCTGTACCTGGGCGACAGAGTGATACTCTGTCTCAAAAAAAAAAAAGGAGAGCAAAGTGTTTACAGTGACAAAGTGATTTCAACTAGCAATTGTCAGATAACTTAGTAACAAGGCATCACCCAAATAACTACATTTGAAAGTTGACTGGACAGACCTGACTGGGGCAAAGGGAGAGAAGGGGTAGGGGCTTGCTGCTGCCTGCACTCCTGCATGCAGCTCTTAAAGCCGTTTAAAAAACTCAAACGTTTTCTGTAGTTTTGTGACTTAAGTATGACAAGCCATCAAAAGTCTGATACTTAATACATTACAATGAACAGTTTATGCCAAAAGAAATCTTAGAGTAGGGCCTGGGAAGGAAATGCTTTTGAAGTTCCACTGCTTTGAGTAGTATCA